CATCACCACCACACACACACACCATCACCACATCACACACACACCACACCACACACACACACCACACACACACACACACACCATCAACAACCACCACCACACACACACACACACACACCCCACACACACACCATCATCACACACACCTTCCACCCACACACACCATCACCACCACACACACACACACCCCATCACACACACACCATCATCACCACACCTTCACCATCACACACACCATCACCACCACACACACCATCACCACCACACACACACACACCATCACATCCCACACACTCAACATCACCATCACCCCACACACACACACCATCACCCCACACCACCCCTCACCATCACCTCCCCACACACAACCACCACACACACACAATCACCCCACCCCCACACACACACACCCATCATCACACACACACCATCACCACCACACCACCATCACCACCACACACCATCATCACACACACACATCACCACCACACACCATCACCATCACCACCACACACACCATCATCACACACACACCATCACCACCACACACCATCACCATCACCACCACACACCATCATCACACACACACCATCACCACCACACACACACCATCACCCCACACACATTCTCACCATCACCACACACATTCTCACCATCACCTCCCACATCACATCACACACACACCATCACCACCACACACCATCATCACCACCACACACACATCACACACACACACCACACACCACACCATCACCATCACCACCACACACACCATCATCACACACACACCATCACCACCACACACACCATCACCACCACACACACCATCACCATCACCATCACCCCACACACACCCTCACCATCACCCCACACCCACCCTCACCATCACCCCACACCCACCCTCACCATCACCCCCCACACACCCTCACTATAGGCTGCTCATCCTCACTAAACCTTTTCACCCAAGCTCTTCCCATTCTCCATCGTCCCTAGCAACCCTGTTGACTCAGACAAACACACCCGTTGCTAGGGAAACATTACACCATTTATTGCCTATTACTAACTACTATTAACCATTAACTATTAACTATTTTTGTTATATTATTCTTACTGACCAAAAAAATAGTAATAAATAGCTTTTTCTGTCTTGTTCCCTACATAGTGATCTCAAATGTAAACATGTGACGTCACGTGTTCGTTTATCTCAGTCCACTGGTACACAGAGAGTCGTGTGGACAAGAGATCTTATTGGTCCGTTTTTACAGGTGGGCGGAGTCATCAATAAAGACCCATTTTTATGATTTTTTTATACCACCTGAGGATTAGCCACCCCTACCCCCCTCCACTTTGTTTTACCTTGTTGTTAAGGCTGCATACATTGACAGTATTTGTTCTACCAATATTAAGTACGCTGCACTTGCTGGTGTTGAATTTCATTTGCCATTTTTCTGACCACTCCTGCAGTTTATCTAAATCCTCCTGTAATGTATTTGCATCCTGCCCTGAATTAATCTGCCGCCCTATTTTGGTGTCATCCGCAAACTTATGTCACTGCTGATCTCAGTATCTAGATCGTTTATGTAGATTATGAACAAGATTGGACCGAGTACTGACCCCTGGGGAACCCCACTGGTTACACGGCCCCACTCAGATTTCACACCATCTACGCTGACCCTCTGTGTTCTATCGGTGAGCCATGATTTTATCCAATTTAAAACTTTCCCCTCGATACCATGAGCCTTAACTTTTCTCAGAAGCCTCTGATGCGGTACTCTGTCAAACGCTTTGCTGAAGTCCTGGACCACTAAGACTTCCTGGCTCCTGGACCAATAAGACTCTTCCTGGCTCTTGAACCATGAAGATTCTTCCATGGTCTGTTGTCCATATACGGAAGCAAACGAAATTTCTTTCTGGGTCTCGACTTCGTTGGCCTCCACTGAATACTGCAAAGTCTGCTCACCCCAGCTCCACTCGATGGCAAAAGGCTTGTTAAAATTGATTTTATTTGTCTACTGCTTCAACAGCTTCGCATTGCTCTTTCGCCCCTGTTCTGGGTCCAGAATTTTTCTTTTGCGACTGACCTTTCCTGGGTGAGCCGTGCCCTCAGGCCACGCCATCCTGATGTAACAAAACCGCTGTGCTTGGATAGTGAAGATGTTGGTAGTGTGTGTGTGGTGTGTATGTGTGTGTGTGTGGATGGGGAAGATGTTGGTAGTGTGTGTGTGTGTGTGTGTGTGTGTGTGTGTGTGTGTGTGTGGATAGTGAAGATGTTGGTGTGTGTGTGTGTATGTGTGGATAGGGAAGATGTTGGTGTGTGTGTGTGTGTGTGTGTGTGTGTGTGTGGATGGTGAGATGTTGGTGTGTGTGTGTGTGTGTGTGTGTGTGTGTGTGTGGATAGGGAAGATGTGGTGTGTGTGTGTGTGTGTGTGTGTGTGTGTGTGTGTGTGTGTGTGTGTGTGTGTGGATGTGATGTTGGTGTGTGTGTGTGTATGTGTGTGTGTGTGTGTGTGTGTGGATGATGTGTGTGTTGTGTGTGTGTGTGTGTGTGTGTGTGTGTGTGTGTGTGTGTGTGTGTGTGTGTGAAGATGTTGGTGTGTGTGTGTGTGTGTGTGGATGTGTTGGTGTGTGTGTGTGTGTATGTGTGTTGTTGTGTGTGTGTGTGTGTGTGTGTGTGTGTGTGTGTGTGTGTGTGTGTGTGTGTGTGTGGATGTGAAGATGTTGGTGTGTGTGTGTGTGTGTGTGTGTGTGTGTGTGTGTGTGTGTGTGGATAGTGAAGATGTTGGTGTGTGTGTGTGTGTGTGTGTGTGTGTGGTGTGTGTGTGTGTGTGTGTGTGTATGTGTGGTGATGTGTGTGTGTGTGTGTGTGTGTGTGTGTGTGTGTGTGTGTGTGTGTGTGATGTGTGTGTGTGTGTGTGTGTGTGTGTGTGTGTGTGAAGATGTTGGTAGTGTGTGGATAGGAAGATGTGGTGTGTGTGTGTGTATGTGGATGATGCTGTGTTGTGATGTGTGTGGTGAAGGTGCTGGTGTGTGTGTGTGGATAGATGTTGGTGTGTGTGTGTGTGTGTGTGTGTGTGTGTGTGTGTGTGTGTGTGTATGTGTGGGTGAGATGTTGGTGTGTGTGTGTGTGTGTGTGTGTGTGTGTGGATGGGGAAGATGTTGGTGGTGTGTGTGTGTGTGTGGATAGGGAAGATGTTGGTGTGTGTGTGTGTGTGTGTGTGTGTGGATGGTGAGATGCTGGTGTGTGTGTGTGTGTGTGTGGATAGGGAGATGTTGGTGGTGTGTGTGTGTGTGTGTGTGTGCGTGTGTGTGGATGGTGAAGGTGCTGGTGTGTGTGTGTGGATAGGGAAGATGTTGGTAGTGTGTGTGTGTGTGTGTGTGTGTGTGTGGATAGGGAAGATGCTGGTAGTGTGTATGTGCGTGGGTAGTGAAGATGTTGGTAGTGTGTGTGTGTGTGCGGATAGTGAAGATGTTGGTAGTGTGTGTGGATAGTGAAGATGTTGGTAGTGTGTGTGGATAGTGAAGGTGTTGTTAGTGTGGGTGTGTGGATAGTGAAGGTGTGGATATTGAAGATGTTGATAATGTGTGGATGTGCAGATTGTCTAATTTAAGACCACTGCTACGAGTTCGCTCCTGGTTGGATAGTTTGAGTACCTTTGTTATATCACTTTTGTTTAACCCTGACTTCCATTTACACACCTCGATCATATCGCCCCTCACTCCACGTCTCTCGAGAGAGTGCAGATTAAGATGCTTTAACCTGTCTCTGTACTCAGGGTTCCTAATGCACTACAGGAGGATTTAGATAAGCTGCAGGAGTGGTCAGAAAAATGGCAAATGAAATTCAACACCAGCAAGTGCAGCGTACTTAATATTGGAAGAACAAATACTGTCAATGTATACAGCCTTAACAACTTCAAAATAGAGAAGTTTTATATCTAGAAGTGTAAGCAATAAGAGTGCGGATCATATTGCAACTATATCTTGCGCTTGTCAGGCCGCACCTCGATTATGCGGTTCAGTTCTGGTGCCCTTATTATAGAATGGATATCAATTCTCTGGAGTCGGTGCATCGAAGAATGACGAAAATGATTCCGGGACTTAGAAACCTTCCATATCAAGACAGATTAAAGAAACTAAACTTGCATTCCCTAGAAAGACAAAGAGTGCGGGGAGATATGATAGAAGTATCTAAGTGGGTGAAAGGAATCAATATTAGTCTTGCCATCCTCTTTTGCATGCTTTCTTGGGATTCGATATCCATTCTGTAGTACGGTAACACACACACATAATGGTTGCCTCTCGTTGTAGAAGCTGTCGCCAACACAACAACCACACCTTAAGTTAACGAGCTGCATGACCCAGTGTTTAAGGTGTAGAAGCTGTCGCCAACACAACAACTACACGAGCTGCATGATCCAGTGTCAAGGAATAGCCCGAGAAGACCGGACAACTCGCCATTTGCCAAATCCAGGTCCCCAATTACTGCTGGGTAGACAGAGGCAAATGGCGTAAAGAAACTTGCCCGTAGTATCGAACCCGGGTCCGCTCGCTTGCGAAGCGAGCACGCTCACCATTACACCATACTCTTCACCCTCCCCTCACGCACCCTACACACCCTTACCATCACCCCAAACACACACACACACACACACACACACACACACACACACACACACACACACAATCTTATCTAAGTTTACTTTTGCAAATATCAGGTGAGTGTGACTGACTTTGTGAAATGACCTGACATGAACTGTTTATATTTTAGTGACCTGATATGACCTAATTAGATTTATAGTGACTTGATATTACCTTTATAAAAATAACGACGACATGATTTGACCTCAATAAACATAGCGACATGACATAATTTGACCTTAATAAACACAGCTACATAACATGACCTGACCTGACATTAATAAACACAACAACTTGACATGACATCAATAATATACAATAACATCATCAATAAAATAATGACCTGAACTGACTGTACTTACTTTTCATCAGACATACTTCGGGCGCTGGCAAGGGTCATCTGGCTCTCCGCCTTGTTGGGATTGACCCGTTCTGGCATCTTGGGGTTGGCTTGGCACTGTATCTGACCAACCACCACAACAAAACGGGCAGTGAATGTGTGGTGTGGATGGTGTGATGTCTTAAACTCGCTTCAAACACAGACACCTCCCCTCCCTGGGCTTATTATAAATACGATTTGATTTTCTTATAACAGTACATTGATGCTGATTCCTTTATGAATTGAACCAAGCAGTTTAGGATAACCCGTAGGATGTTTTAACAGGATATTTTAAGGCTTTAAATAAGGAACGGATATCTTAGCATTACTCGCAGGACTATAATAGGACTCAGAGACACGATGGCAAGGGATCTTTCTTCTGTAGTAGGATACGGACGCAGTGGAGTGTGTTGTGAGCGAGAGACAGGGCCAGAGCGGTCGGCACACACAACTCGACGGCTTGGTAGTCCCGAGCACACTGAAAACACA